GCGCAGACCAGACTTTGCCCCTCCACGGTTTCTTCCGAGGAAAACAGTAAAAACCCTTCACTCTGCTGACACACACAGGGAATATCGGAATTCACCTTCCTCGCCACCAGCTCCCTGTCATGCACCGGGATCTCTCCGAGGTCTGCTGCAAAGCCCCTCCAGCTCCTGGTTCGCAGCAAGCCCAGTTGCAGAGCTGCATTTCCACACACTCCAGTCTATTCCTTGTCTCACACCTCACTGAGCATCCCCGGAGCGGGCAGGTCGGAGCGGGCTGTGCTGGTGATCGGAGCAGCCCTGCCACGGGGCTCCGGCCCCAGCAGCGCTCCGAGGCAGCCTTGGCCGGCGCAGGAGGGTCTGGCAGCACCAGCAGCCCATGGCGGGCACGCTGGGACCTCCTCGGCAGCCGGGCACGTGCCCTCCTGCGGCTCTGACCAGAGTTTTAAGCAACTTTCTATTTTAATTAGCAGGTTCATGCTCCCCACCCTCATAACTCAGGCAGATTTTGAACCGCCAGTTGTTATTCCATGGGTGCACTATAAATAAGCAGCTCCCTGCCCCCCTAGAGTGAGCAGATTTTGCACAAGTAGCACTTGGCACATTTATTTTAAGGGGAAATGTGTCAAAACCCCCTGAGAGGTTGGGAAACATCCTGATCATGCACTCAGGGTATTTTCCAAGTAGCCAGACCACTGCATCGAGTGGTGCCAGGTTTATGATGCTCCAGCACATACTCTGCATGGCTCAGCAGCTTTGCTGGCACCAGCCACGCTGCCCTGAACCCCACCACAAACCCGTCCCATCCTGCAAACCACATCCACAGCATGCCTCGGGTGGCAACGAAAGGGAATTCCTCCCACGTTCAAGTGCAGATGAGCAGCAGCGATACCCTGCCGGCAGCGTGGCACACGAAATCGCCCAAAACCCCGGCTAGGCAAGGAGACACCGTCGGGCTGTGCTCGGCGAGTGGGCTGTCGGGTTTCATAACACGTCCCTGCAGCCAAAGATCTTTTATTTTTAACTCTGGGAGAGGAGAAACCCAGAGGAGCTGGGCAGCAGCAGGGCTTTGTTTCCAGCTATTTATAATGGCTGTCAGCAGTGCCCACACGGGAAGCTGCGCGGCACCAGCGAGCTGCCCCACGGCCCCGCCAGCGCTCGGCAAAATCCGCTGTGAAGCTACCCATGGAGCAAAGTTCTTCCACTTTTCATTGACTCAGTGCAAAACCCCCAAAAAGCTACTTTTCTCCCTTTAATAATTTATCTGCCATAGTTGTGAGGGCAGAGGAAGGGCAGGAGCGACACAGGAGCACCCTGCGTACCCCCATCCTCCTGGGATGCTGCGTTTCCCCACACGGGATACTGGGATTGTGTTTGCTTCTGCTACGGGGGGATGCTAAGTGAACCGGCAGCAGCAGTGGGTCCCTGTGGGATCCCGGGGTGCACAGAATGCCCTTTGCACCGTGTGCCAGCACGTGCACACGAGCAGGTGTGCTGTCTAAAGGCTCGGCTCAGCTTGCAGGTTTGCACCCCAGAAATTCCACCCCCCCCCAACACTCAAGCACAAAACGTGCCCCGGCAGGACAGCGAGCGCAGGGCAAACACCAGAAGCACCCGCAACCTCCCGTCCACACGTTCACCACCCCAACCTCATCTTGCCATGCAAGAAAACCCCTGTTCCCTGATGCCCCCCCATCTTGCCCCAAAACCACCAGCAGCCGGTGCATCCGCACGGCCTTTCCCAGCACCGGGAGGCGAGCGCAGGGCAAACACCAGAAGCACCCGCAACCTCCCGTCCACACGTTCACCACCCCAACCTCATCTTGCCATGCAAGAAAACCCCTGTTCCCTGATGCCCCCCCATCTTGCCCCAAAACCACCAGCAGCCGGTGCATCCGCACGGCCTTTCCCAGCACCGGGAGGCGGTGCAGGTCGCTGCACCCCTGCACGTGCCTGCTCTTCCCGGGGTTCTGCCATTAATCCTGTTACCAGCACGGAGGCAGGATGTGGGCATTGACTTGGGGGTGCAACAAGCACCCACACACGCACCTCAATTTTAGCAGCAGCACCCCCGAGAAACGCACCCACAAAAAGCATCTTCCCACCCCACCAAAGCACCTTTGCACCATCACCGTTCCCGGCCCCGCGC